ACACAGGATCTGCAGACTTGGGGTAACCTAACCCCTGTTAGCACCCTATAGGGCGGCACGCTCTTTGCGCCGCTGTTTCTCATCGGCACGCCAGTCCAAGATATGTTGCTCATCACTGATCTGGTACTGGCCGGTGCGGAGACACGCCCTTAGCAAATCCATTGCTTCAACGGTTTCCTTGGTCAATGCATCGGCCAGCATGCGATCCGTTGGGATCCAACGGAGATTTGCTTGGACTCGGCCCAGGCTTTCGCGGACTATGACAACATCTAAGGCGGTACGTTTATCATCTAAGGTGGGGGAAGACTTAGAGTTCAGATGGTCATACAGGGACTTGCAGTCAGTCAGGGCCATGCTGCAACGTCGGGATGCATACTGCCAACAATTGCGGAGACTACATGGGCCATCAATAGCTTCAGACAACAGCAGGAGGATCCATTCGAGCATGCCCGTTGCAGATGACATGGCCTGGGCCTCAGCGCTCAGAGTGGAATTCACCACCCTTGGGAGTCTGTAGCTACGCCAATAGGCCGGTGTCCATTGCTGCACTTCACCATTGTTCATCTCCTTATGGGTAAAACTAACTAGAAACCCGGCTTGAGTGGCCCCATCACGACCATTTGCATAGGCAGCATCACTGTGACACATGACGGCCAATTGATCAGGCTGCACTGCACGGAACACAATTGGTAGCTGAGCATTCTGGCGGGCACGTCTGACAGCGTTATTTGCAGCTACGGCATCTGACACCAGTGGTTCAGGAAAGGCTTGCTGGGAGAACGAAACTTGAGTCGACAAGTCAGGCCGGGATTGCGTCGCCAGCCAGTTCAGACCACCATTGATGGCACGCAAACAACGAATTTCATCCGTCGACAAAGGCGAGTCTTTCTGCAAAAGACGAGTTCGGCTGAGCCGGAGAGGGCGAAGCTTCTCAACAAAGCCTTCTTGAGACATGGTGATGTCAAAGCTCACAGAATCCTGCTGGTAGTGAGCTCCGCAGAAGTCACCATCTCCGATTCGCCACTTCCGGAACTCGAATTTTTGGCGAAGCGCCTCTATCGCACGGTCGTACTTCTCGCCTTCGCCGCCGGTGGCGCTGTCATCTACATGCACACCATAGATCCCTACTAGCTTCCCATTGTCACGCATATAGTAGACGCAAGGGTCGAACCGACTACGCTCAAACCCTACCTCAACTAATGCCTTATTGAGGGTCCTTTGCCAGGCAGATGGCGCGTCATTTAAACCGTAAACATGTCCTAGGACCTCAATCAAGGCATCTGACGGCACTCCAGGAATGCCGCCCGGAGGAAGACGTGCGTAAAGAGGCCGGTATGTGGCCGGCAGCTCGCCCGAAGACAAAAACGCACCCTTGATATCCCCTAGCCTAAGACGCCACTTATGGGATGCGATAAGCTGAAAGAGGACAGATCGTCCGACCTGGGATAAGGTGGGACTCTGGAGGTCTCCGGCCATTGCCTTCTTGGAGAGGTCAGGGTCTAAGTGACCCTGCAAGCACCATCTTGCCTTGATGCGGGCCGGAGCATCATCCTCTTGCTTAACTGTGACGACGTATCGACTACCCATATAATGCGGTCAGGAAACTTCTGACGCACTCTCTCGGCTTCGCGACCCAAGACAAGTCTCGTAGCGTTTCTACCAAGCACCGTGTTCCACTCAACAGATTTGGCTTCATCTACCTGGCTCTGAAGTTCAAGTGGGTTACCTACTGCAGGAACTTCCTTAGCTTGGCGCTTATTGAGGACTTGGGCCATAAGATTCTCAATGCTTTGTTTTGGGTCAGCGGTCTGTACGAGAAGGGCTTCTACAGCTAAGCTTTCATCGTCAGCGGCAACACGGTCCTCAGACGGGCTTTCGGTAGCCCTGCGGCTGGTCTCACGAGCGGCAGGCTCAGCAGAAGCCTCGCGTTTCACTCCTCGCGAAGGAAGGGATTCTGGGGAATTAGGGTCTGAGGCACTACTGGGCATTGTGGCTTGTAGGGTCTGGGACACTAGTTCGGGAATTACCTCATGCATCAGCTCAGAGAAGTCGTCCTGTAGCAGAGCACTTGGTCGGTGCAGCTGCTCCGGCGATGTTTTCCTAGACACTCTACGAAGAGGGCCGTAGGTGGCATCCGTATCTGGGGCTTGTGACTCTCGGGATTGATAGGGCTGTGACTCAGCACGTCTGACACCACTACGGTCCACCTCACTCCTACTCACATCACCCTGACCCGTTTGCCCAGCATCTGCAGTCGGTGCTGACAACGGTCCTAGGTTGCTTCCTGGGGCAATAGCCTCGGAAGCCGGCGCTCCAACAGACGCCTGTGCCGGAGGGAGAGGCATGTGATGTGCGGGCTCTGGTGCGCTTTGCTCAGCTTGCGGCGGCCTATCAAGGGGTACTAGGTCAGTGTACTGCTTGGTGGAAAGAGCATTGGTATCTATGAGGTGTTTGAGGCCTAACAGCTCAGCATTAGGGGTGGAGACAAGAGCTTGTTCCTCTGACGTTGCTCGGCGAACCTGTTCTGGTGCACACCTAAACACCTGCTTCTTATGTACCACCACAAGATTCTTACCAACCTGTCCTAGCACAACCGCCGGACCGTACCACCGACCACCACGTTCGATGGTACCCTCATGGCTCTTCTGAGTGCGCCAGTAGGCTACCAGTGACCCTGGTGCATGGTGCTCAAGAACCCTCGGCCTGGCGGCCAGGCTCAACCGAAGAGCCTTGTCATCCTGCAGGGCCACCACGGCTTGGCGAGCCGTCTGGCGAATGGCCACGCGCCTGGCGACAGCATCTTCGTGCAAGGAAGCGGTCGCGGGGATCACATCAAGAGGCTCGTCCAGCAAGTTGCTGGGCACCCTAGGATTACGACCGAAAACGTACTGAGCAGGGGTCATGCCATACACTTGGATCAGCTCATTTTTGCAGTGGGCACCGACAACACATTCAAGCCATGACTGGCGATCATGCGGGGCGCACTCAGCAATGACTTTCTGGAGAACCCGGCTAAACCAGCCACCATGAACTTCTACCTTCCCCAATTGCCAGTGAGCCTCAGCAGCAGTAGAGGTCACAACAGACCCGGCCAACTCCTGCGGAACAGTCAGCGCATCGCTGAGATTCGTTTGCGCAGGGTCAACGACAATCTCATGAGGAATGCCCGCCCAGGAGACCCATCGCTCCTGGAACGCCTGGCGAAGAAGTTCGCCGGTTTCGCGACCCGGAAGGGGCACCATGATTTGGAAGGACGAGGCGTAGTCTACAATGTTGAGTGTCGGTATCTTCTGATTGGGGAGCCATCCGGGCAAGTACTTGACGTCAAGACCGACACGCCGGTTAAACTCAGTGACTCGATGTGTCTGAGCCAGCGGGGCTGGCTTGGGCTGCTTCTGTGCCGCACACAGTTCACATGACAACTCTCGAGCCAAGTCCAGGGCCGCTTGCGAAGCGCCACCATGTTTGAGAACACGCACTAGCACGGGATTTGGCGGATGACCAAGATTAGCATGAAGCTTCTGCAAGCTCGCCAGCATTTGCTCGCGGCGCTGCTCGTTCAGCTCAGCCACTCTCCCGGCAACGAAGCAATCAAAGTCCGAGCCCACTTGGACAAGGCAAGCCCCAAAACGGGGTAGCTCACGCACTGTTCTCAGAACCGACTTTACGAACTTACCCGAGGATAAATCTCCAATCTCCCCTGAGCTTCGCTTGCCAAGCGAGGTCATGTTCTGATGAGACACAAGGCCTTTCATCATGATTGGCCTGTGGCGACCTCCCCTTGTGCATTTCCCTAAGTCGATCTGGAACATCCGGCGGGACAACTGCTGCCACTTGGACAACCCCCAGACCGCGGAGGTCGCAGACTCGCAGAAAAACACCCGGCCGCCCTGTGCTAGCTGGCAGTTGGCCACATCGGCCGCGAAGTTCAGTAGCAGCTTGGTAAGCACAGCCTTCTCTCGCCTAGTGTTCTCATCGGAATGAACCGGATCTACATCATACCAACCACCTAGCCAGGAACATGGCGACCCAAGCACCAGTAGCTCAGGCTTCTGTGCAGCCACTAGTTCCAAAAGTCGGTCACGGTCGGCCGCCCGGCGGAGGTCCCAGCCGGTCAGCAGATCTGCACTTACGCCCTTAAGTCCCTTAGTTAGGCACTCGAGAGTATACCTTGGCTCTCCGAAGATCTCAACCACATGCACCTTGTCCGGGGACGCCTGCCCTACAGAACCGGTAACCTTACGGCGGGCCCGCTTGGCGGCAGACTGAACCTGTCTCCATTGATGCGGAGTCCATTGCCCATCGGGGGCAGTCTCGGCCTCGGCCTCAGTAGGGGATTGTTCCGGAGGATCCGGATGCACCTGAAACACAGTTCGCCCGGTCCAGGCGCGAGTGCTCAGTTCCCTGTGAGGCTCATCATGAGTTCTCCAATCATCAACAACCTCTAGAGGGGCCTCATCATGACGATGACTCATCATCGTCCGGCGGCAACCGGACAAACGGTGCACATCTAGAGGACACCCTTCAGCACATGGAGTAAACGCCTGTCTTCTAGGAATCTGATGGATCCTAGTCACACTGAGACCGTCATCAGCTACCACCCAATCATCCACTAGGGCAGGTGGCGTGCCTTGAGGTTCCGCGGAGATCGGCGCATTGAAATCTGCCACGGGGATGACATACTGGCCAGCCTCGTTCACGCTCATCGGGATCGCTTGGTCGCCATTGAACAAGCCGAGCTCGTCGCGGCCAAAGTCCATGTTGGCTCCCAGTGTCTTTAGAGCCGGTCGGGAAAGGAGGAGTGGCGCCTGGCCACTGATAACCGCCGCCTTGACGATGCCGCGGCGTCCTGCCAGGGACACCGGCATGTCCACCAGCCGGTTGGACACCTCCTGGGCGCCATTCCCGAACCTGAACGTGTTCAGCTCGGGCTTCTCACCGGGCTGGTCCACGCCAGCCTCAGCCCAAAGCTTCCGGAAGGCCTTGAGCGTATCCTCGCCGATGACGCTCTTGCCGCAGCCTGAGTCCAGGAGCGTCGGCTTCTCAGCTGCTCCAACATGGTCGGGGGGATCTGGATTGCATGGCACACGAAGTGTTGCACCATTCCTGCCGAGGTCGGCGCAGCGCTGGAGGAGCTCGCGGCCGGCATCTTCACACGACACTCTCTGGCCCAATGGCCCGTGCGGCCGCATCTGTTGCACTGGGTCTTGCGTTTGAGTTCCTCGATTTCGACCCTGAAGGATTTCTTCAGGTCGTCCGCCTGGGGAAATTTTCCGGCGCGCTGCAGCCGGTTCAATTCCTGGCGACGGTCCTTCCATGTAGCCGCCAAGACCTCGGCCACCTCGCTCTCGGGGAACACCTCGACGTCAGGAGACGTCTCCTCCTGGCCGTGCTCCGCCAGGAACATCTCCACATCCTGAAACGGGGCGTCTCCGCCCTCACCGGTCGTGGCATCCTCCGCCGTGCCGGTCTCGTACCCATGGCCCCACCACTGGTAGTCCTCGTCCGTCTCGAGGTAGTGCGCGGCCATCGTGCCGCGCTTCCGGGGCACCGTGTATTCGGGGAAGCACGATCTCATGGCCTGGGTCAGGGAGTCGTGCTTGAGGTCCCCGCCTGTCCTGGCCAGGACCACCGCCCTCTGCTCCTCGCTCATCCCGCTGTAGTTGAGGACGATCCAACCCTTTGCCTCTTCCGGGAAGGACACTCCGGTCTTCCTGCTACAGCGATCGAAGCACTCTCGAGCTCGGGCGCACCAGGTCCTCAGGAGCTCGCCCTCGCGAGCTCGGAGAGAAAACACCTCC